GTTGCGGCTTGGCGCCGGCAGGGATCTCGCCTCCTTCCGCAAGCATAGACGCCCTGGCTGCTGCATTTGACCTCATTGGGCGTCTCCGCCCATTACTCTGCAGCATCGACTTCACTAACAACCGTATATTTTTCGCACGTTTCGCATCATGCTTCATCGCTTCATGTTAAGTTTCATTATCGCTCACCTGGTGTCCTCTACCTCTACCTTCCCGACCGACTGCAGCTGGCCGTCATTGAGGCGCACTCGCTGATCAGCAACCCCCAGGTGCAGGCGGAGGTTTGCAACTACACCAAGGCCGTGTGCGATAGCTTCCAAGGCTTCTCGGACATGTGCAAGGTGGGGGAGGGGGCCGGAGGGGACGGAGGGCAACGCCTGATATTAATGCCACCTGGGATATCCTGGTGGGATGTACGGCGAGGGCGACGGGGGGTTGGGGCCGAAGCACATTTGCAACTGCCCAGCATATTTAAGGGCTTCCTTCATCCTGGGTTGAAGAATACCCGTGTGGCAGAGTGGCCCGCCTGCGTCGTCCGGTTGATATACGAATTTCTGCGTGTCGGTAGATACGACCCAAGCACAGCACCACCTATTCAGCTCAAATGACACGTGCCCCCCCTCGTGTAGATATTCCCTCCGCTGCTGCGGCTTCCGGCGGAAATACATATCCCTCGCCTCTTCATCTTTCGCGGCTGTAGCCTTGCCTGACCCGACCTGCCTGCTGACCCCCGACTTGCTGTGTTGTGCCGCACACAGGCCTACGTGGACATGTATGCCCCGCTGGTGTTCACGCTGCTGGAGCAGTACCTGGTGCCGGACGCGGTGTGCGCGCAGACCGGCCTGTGCCCGCCTCCGCCGGTTGAGGGCAGTCTGGCCGACTCCCACTCCACTAGCTGGACCTGCTGGCTAATGGACGGCTGGGTGGGCAGCGCGCTGCGGCACCTGGGCCTTGGGGCCCTGCTGCCGGCGCACCACCAGCATGGCCACGACCAGCATGATCCCGCCGTGCAGCTGGAGCGCCAGTAGGCAGCGCTGGGGGCAGTGCGGGGTGGTTGGAGTTGCGCTGGGTGACTATTGGTCTCCATATTCTTCAAACACGAAAAAATTGATGGGCTTTAAAGACCGCCTTGGTTGCTCGAGTCACTTGTAAAATGGTCGTGTGGAGGAGGGTTTGGAACGGGAGTCTACTTGTGACAGAGCTGGGTTGGTGATCGTTGACCGAAGCTGGGAAGTTGCGCTCTTGGCGCCATTTTTAACATTCAGTGGTCGTATGGTGCATATGATCATGAAACAAAGCCAACAGCATGAATGGCGTTGTGCATGGGTTGATACTATTCGCGCGAGACTACTGCACCCATGCCGTAGGCACTGCAGCCATGTACTGCCTCATGGATGGATGGATGCTTTGTACACTCTTGGGTGGGACGTGGATGTGAGGTTTCAGCTACGGCCTGGCGCGCCCTCCGCTTTCGTGGCGTGTTACATACAGCAGCACATACAGCAGCAGCTCGATCTTCGTCCGGGTGTCAAGTGGACATTCCTCCGGTGTCGTTGCAAGTTGCTTTCAATCCGTTGTGGCGATGGTGAGTAGCGATTTTGAACACGCAGTAAGGTGAGGATTATCGGTGTCACCGGAGCGATTTGAGGTTGGGCGAATGGCTGGGTTGGTGGCGTTCAGAAACATTCAGAAAAGAATGCGTCATCGCAGTTGTGCAATAGCTCTTTACAGCCTGTAAATTACAATGCATTGCAGAATGCATTCCTTGGGAGATCAAAAAGATCGATGGTTGCTGTGGGATAAGGTGATGTTGTACCCTGCACTATCTGTGGATTGTTCGTTATGGAGAAATGGGACTAGGACACTATCTGTCTGCAAGGGCGGATTCTGTAGGGCGGTAGGACGCCGTCGTAGGATTGCTTCCCACGTACATGTTCCATTACAGAAATACACACAATTCCGATGTGTTAAAAACAACTGAATCCTGTGTAGTGTGGAGTAAGCCAGTTTTTCTATGGCTTTGCACGGTGCGAACCTGACATGGGTGCCTTTACCAGTTCTCCACTCTCTGTATCGAACACTGCTCCAATGCATCCATTACCCCATCCATCGCCTCCACATGCACAGCAGCGCTCGACACCCCGCCACACGAAACGGTGCAGGCAGTCTGTGCCACCACCTCGACAGCTAGCTACACGCCACGGCTGCATGCCGATGCATATGCATGGCGCAAGCCCAGCCACAAGGGACACGGAACGAATTCCCATGCTATGACTCTTTACCCTGCCATCCAGCTCCGTGCATCCAGTAGGTCGTTGCAGCAGTGCTCCGTGTAGGATGGCGAGATATCTGTACATCCGCAGAAGCAGGCCGCGCCGCCGCAGCAGCGGAAGCAGCAGCCAACGCCGACACCGCCGCAGTAGCCGCAACAAAACATAGCCCAAGTACAAGACCCAGGAAACCCAGCCCCAGCCCCGTCCTAAGCCACCCACCTATCGAGTCCTATTACCTTGGTAACCGTGAAAAGCACAACAACACAAACGCGTCAGACACGGACCAGCTGCTTGAAACACCCATACTTACATTGCGACCGCCTGCAGGCGAACTGCGAAACGGGGGGGACGGGGTGACAGGAAGATGAGCATCGGTGGCACTCGAATGAGAAGTGTGGCATGAGGATCGATGGAGGGGGGGAAGATAACGACGCCGTCAAGGCAAATGCAACCACTCCCGTCACCGACGCCATTGCACCTTCCGCAGCCGCCACACCCGCCGCCACTGCCACACCCGCCACCGTCGCCGCGAACGCTACCACCGCCACCGCAGCCAACCCCGCCGCCAACGCCACACCCGCTAAGGCCGACTCCAACGCCGTCAAGGCAAATGCAACCACGCCCGTCGCGATGCCGCTGCACCTGCAATAGCCGCCACACACCCCGCCAACGCCACACCCGCCACCGTCGCCGCCACCGCAGCCACACCCGCCGCCAACGCCACACCCGCCATCGTCGCCGCCACCGTCACCGCCACCGTCACATCCATAGCCACCACCTCCACCGCAGCCACACCCGCCGCCAACGCCACACCCGCCAACGCCAACTCCAACGCCGCCAGGTAAATGCCACCACACACGTCACCAATGCCACCGCACCTCCCGCAGCCGCCACACCCGCCGCCAACGCCACACCCGCCATCGTCGCCGCCACCGTCACCGCCACCGTCACATCCATAGCCACCACCTCCACCGCAGCCACACCCGCCGCCAACACCACACCCGCCAACGCCAACTCCAACGCCGCCAGGCAAATGCAACCACTCCCGTCACCGATGCCACCGCACCTCCCGCAGCCGCCACACCCGCCGCCAACGCCACACCCGCCATCGTCGCCGCCACCGTCACCGCCACCGTCACATCCATAGCCACCACCTCCACCGCAGCCACACCCGCCGCCAACGCCACACCCGCCAACGCCAACTCCAACGCCG